CAGCGGCAAAGCGCCTGCCTGGCAAGCGCAAGGTCGTGAGTTCGGTTCCCGGTACCGGAGAAAAACAAAAACAAAAAAAAAAAAAAAAAAAATTAAAGGAAAGAGAAGTCCTCCAATATCCTTTCTGCTTATTCTTCCAATGTAATATACAGCTAGGGCCCACCTTATCATATCCTGGTTGATATCAACTTTATCAGCTTTTCCATCAAAGCCAAACTGGACTTAGTACGATCAATAATGGATTTTCTGTATGCTAAGTGTATCCTTTGTATAACTGATTGTGTTTGCAGTTTTTTTTTTCTTTTTTTTTTTGATACAGGGTCTCGCTATGCACTTCAGGCTGGCCTTGAACTCACAATGATCCTCCTGCCTCAGCCTCCTGAGTGCTGGGATTACAGGCGTGCACCACCACGCCCGACTGTATAACTGATTGTGTAATGGCTGAAATTGAGAAATTGGGACAGAAGTATCAAGTGGCTCTAAGGACTGCCAAGGATCCACGATTTGAACGATTACCTTGCACTCACGATTGCTTAGTGCAGAGAGTAACTCAGCACAAGTGTTACATTGTGGCCATGGTTGACCTGGACCTTAAGATCCCTGGAGCTACTATAAAGTACATTTCTAGCCACAGATCAACATCGAGCAGATGCCAGATGATTATGGAAGCCCTCAGATCTAATTCTTGCAAGACAAAGTTCCTCTGCCTTCCTCCGACCCACTTTCTGTCTTCAATTCATTGAACATGCTATTATTCACCCATCTGCTCTATTATCAGCTGAGTATGGTTAAATACATTCACTTTTTGAAAATGGTAATTTGTCTACTTTAAAATTTATTGCATCTTTTTATAAATCAGATGCTCCAATGGCTGTTCATATAATTTGATTTATTCAACAAACATTTATTAAGTTTATGCTAGGTACTTATTGAGGTATGCTCCTGTCCTTAAGACACTTATATAGAAGAGAAAAACATATTAATGAATAAATACCATACTAGGTGTGGTGGCACAACCTGTAATCCCAGAACTTGGGAGGCTGAGGCAGGAGGATTGTTATGAGTTTGAAACCAGCCTGGGCTACAAAGGGAGCACAAGGCCAGTTGGGACTGCATAGTAAGACCTTGTCTCAAAAAGACGAAAAAAAAAGGAATAAATACCATAAAATAAATCAGGCATGGTGGTGCCCACCTGTAATGCCAGCACTTGGGAAGATCACTACAAGACCTAGGCCATCCTGGGCTACAGAGTGAATTCAGGGCCAGCCTGAATTACATAGTAAGACCCTGTCTCCAAAAAAAAAGGCCTTTCCTTTACAAGAACCCAGAAGGATATGTGAATCATTTTCACTCTTAGCCCACTGGCTACAAGTTCTAGCTGCAAAAGAGGCTGGGAAAAAGTCTCCCAACTGAGGACCCAGCTAAAAACATGGACATCTATTAGTGTAGAAAAAGAGGCCATGAGTACTCTGGGATGTTTTGTTTGCACGGAGACATGAAGTCACATGGTATGGCTGTGCTTGACCTCTTCAGATGACTACCAGGACATTTTTATGACTAAAACATAGA